AAACAATAGCCTATTGTCTTTCTCGGCTCCTGATTGGTTACCGCTCATATGAGCGTCCTATACTACTCATATCCATTCTCAGTTCCGCAGTCAGCTCTAATAACCGTTGCAGTTCTTCCAAGTTGCCGCACACTGTCAACAAAGTACTGAGAAATAACGGTAGGACCATTGTTGGTGTATCCAACGTCAAGCCATAAAATTCGCCTACTAAATCCATCGATGACTCCATGGATACAAAAACCAAATGGCCTCAATTTATCATAGTCATCAATATCCCAAGGTGATAGGGTCCCTTAGTTATGTATTGCCTCCTTTTTAGCCTGTGCCTTGCTCTTAACTCAACGCCTTCAGGATCAAGGATCTTTACCAACTCCCGAACGGTTTCTTTGCCAACAACAATGCGGTGGTCATTGACTAATCGTTGAGTAATTTGCCCGTATCCCACGTTACTACTGCTTCCTCTAAGTTCTTCTTCTACAGCTTGAACAACCTCCCTAAATCGCTGGCGTTTCTTCTTTGTCCGAGTCCTTTGGCTTTTAAAATCCTCTTTAACTGTCTAAGGCTTAAGTTGATGCCATGACTGAATACAAGAAACAACAAAATCTCTGTATACTCCAGTTCAAGATGAAAATAGCTGTCTATTAGATCGTCACCTCCAGCAAGGTATTCTTGCAATGTAGGAATGTAGTTTGCAAGTCGAACGCCATCACATGTGGACGCTTTCGAAACAAATGTCAGAATTAGAAGCACGGCAGAAGCGCTGGCCATTTTGGCGTCGCACTGAAGAGAAAATATCGCGTTTTAACAGCGATAATAATCCGCAATGTTGACTAAGTCCACAGCAGTAACTAGATTGGGGTCAGCAGCCTTCCACAAAAAGTCGGGAAACAAGTCGGGAAAAAGTCGGGAAAAAAATCGGGAAAAAAGACGGGAAAAAAGTCGAGAAAAAAGTCGGGAAAAAAGTCGGGAAAAAGTTGGGAAATAAGCCGGGAAAAAAGTCGGGAAAAAATGAGTACGCAGGAAAAAAAGTCAGGAAAAAAGACAGAACGCGGGCAAAACTTCAGGGAAGATTTAAACCTGGAAGTGTAATTTAATGGCACTTAATAGGCTCCGCAGAATGATAATTATTGCATTTAAGTACTTTTTTTGAATAAGTGTTTATAAACTGAACGTTAACTTGATAACATTCTCTTCAATGGTTACAACAAATCTTTTTTAAATGGCGTACAAATTTTCAGGGACCAAGTCTTTTGCGATCATAAGTACGTGATCGATGCCTAAACTTCTTTTTGGTATTTTAGTCCTGGAACTGATAAATAAATCCGGACAATGGTCCATCATAAAATCTCGTTGGGACTGATAATAGAGATGCTTTAGGGGCTAATAAATTAAAAACACTTTTTTGTCAACATTTTTTTCCTATCAGCTCTGCCAGCATGGAGGCGAACAAGGATACAAAACCAAAAGTTGAGTACTGTGATAGAACGAGCTATAATTTTGTCGGAAAAAAGTCTTGCTCTAGAAGGACTAATATCTTCATTATGAATATCTTGTTAGTGGTTCTGTTGCTGGGTGTACAACAGTGATTGCCGTGATCGTGTATTTCGCAACTATGAGAATGAAAACTCTTACTCATTTGGAAGAAGTCAAACTAGAAGATGGCGAAACTCTGGAGTATAAAGTCGAGCAGGAGATTGAGATACAAGGGAATGATGCACAGAAAGGGGAATTTGTGTGTTTTTGTTTTAACAGCTTCTTTATTGTTCTGACTTTGAATTGAGGGGTGCTTAGCTGCCTCCATTACATCCCTTTTTTCATCAAAGGTAATGTACTTGATGAGTGAGTCCCCAGGACAGTCGAAGAAAAAGTAGCGTTGAGTAAATTATCCTGTCTTTAAAATTAAAGCGGTCACCCCAAAAAGCAGACCATGCAGACTGCAGACTGCAGACTGCAGACTGCAGACCGTGCAGACCATGCAGACTACAGACTACAGACTGCAGACCGTGCAGACCATGCAGACTGCAGACTGCAGACTGCAGACCGTGCAGACCGTGCAGA